GGGCAGCCCCTCTCTCATCGGCTTGTGTGTAATCTTCCCCGTTTTTTTTTTTTTTTTAACTGTTGCCACGTCTCGCGTCGCATGTGTGAGGGGCCGCTCTAGGGCGGAGAGAGGGGGGGGGGGACGGTCAGGGGGGGGCTTGCTTCATCGATAAATTCTACCCGAGCCGTGAGGAAAGCGCGCGCGAGGCGGGCTAACAAACCGGCCCGGGCCCAGATCTCAGTCAGACGTGACATTTGTTCAGAGACGATTAGCCAGGTTGTAATTTGTGGCATAATTGCCTCACCCACCCACAAGTGCATGGGCTGTGTGTGCATGCGTTAAGCGTGCGTCTGTGTGTGTGTGTGTGTGTGTGTGTGTGTGTGTGTGTGTGTGTGTGTGTGTGTGTGTGTGTGTGTGTGTGTGTGTGTGTGTGTGTGTGTGTGTGTGTGGCATACGGCGGTCCCAGGAGTGTCCGCCTAATTGCCTGACAGGACTATAAGTTTTGTGGCGCGCTCTCACCTTGTTAGGTCCTTTATCCCTGATGCTCTTCAAACAAGACCTGGTCACAGGTGGGCCTCATTTGCTTCCCTATTGAACAGGAGAACTTTAATTGCACAGGGGTGTCCTGGGATTAAAGAGGTGGGCGGAATATCAAGTGACTTTCCCGCATGTTAGCGGCAGATGGGTGTTGGGAAAAGACCCGTGAACTCAGGTGAAGGCGACGACAAAGAGACTGATGGTGTTGATTTGGAGGGGGATAAATGTATCGATTTCGCAACGGCGGTTCGAGCGGGATGCTAGATTGCAACGATCGACGGCTCTCGTCGCCCGACGATGTTTATTTTCATCTCATGAGATGCGATCTCAGAGCCGGATGGATCATGCGACCGTTTGACCGAGGTGTTTATCAACAAAACAAACACAAAAACGTTTTTTTGAATATTTGTGTTACCTCATGCAGCCACGCGAACAAATTTTGGACGCTACATTTTAGCGTGACGCAATGCGCTTCTCGACCACCGCCAACAAACCCCGAGATCTCGACCCATCGAGATGACAACGCAAATAAACGTCTCGCGTTCTGAACCGCTCCGCTGACCGGCAGGTGTGTTCGAGAGAATCGTCACAGCTTAATTTATTTCCCCCTTTTTTTTTTGTGTTCTCTCTTCCAGATTCTTCCTTAAGTTCTTCCTCAAGTGCAACCAGAACTGTCTGAAGAATGCAGGGAACCCACGAGACATGCGCAGATTCCAGGTGAGTGAAACCCACTTCACACGTCCGTGTCCCGTCTACTGCCGCCTTCCCCGTACAAATAAATCAACACACGCCTGCGCATGAATCTAAATCTATTATTGGCACTGGGGGAGGTAAAGAAAAAGAAAAAAAAAAAAAACAGGGCGGGGAATTGGTGTCTTATGCGCTCTGGACGGAATATTTATAAGGGAATCGCATCTGACACAAATAAAGATATAGGATTTAGCGGTGCCATCAATTGTGTTCCTGACAGCTTTCTGAGCCTCAGCACAGGGGGGGGCAGGGGTTGGGGGCGGGGGGGAGGACCATCCCAGCACATGTAACAACAGTGTTAACTCACGATCTGTCTGACAGCGGAAATTCATACCTGCATGTATGCGCGAGCATGCACTCGCCGTCACACTCGCGCACTCACATTTCCCTCCCGCGAGCAGCCTTGCTCACACATGTGCGCACTTAAGCATGCACACATGTAGCACTTGCGGCCATCTGAAAACCATCATTGTTGCGGGCGGGCAGTACCAAATTTACGGAAAATATTGCCAAGGGGGAGAGTTGAGAGCGATTCGCGCCAGAGGAGTTTCGGCACTCGGGATGGATCCGGGAGGACGGCGGGACATGAAGGAGACGAGACAAGGGTGTCCCGTCCCAATGTCACTGCCATCAGGCCTCCCCCCCACCCCCCCCTCCCTCGTGCCTCCTGGCGTATTCCCCCGAGGGCGAATGTGGACTGATGCATGACAGACAGCGCATCTCGCTTCTGTGTCAAAGGTTCTTTCGAGAAGACGCCGCGCAGCACTTTTCGGAGAAGCAAAACTGTACATCATGTCTCCCTTGTCTTGGGGTCCCGGCAGTTAATATAGTGTTCTTCCTCCCAAATAGATTTGCCAGATGCTCCTCCATAGGTGTTTCCTTGGCCAAACTTGTGTACTCTTGAGTGCCTTGGACTCCACTTATTACCCCCCAAAAAACCAGCTGGAGGCCAGAGAGGGCCCAATCCATCATCCTCAGCTTGGCCCAGCTCTGAACCTGCTCCAAAGAATGGAGCTCTTTCACTTCCCGTTTTCCCTTTTACCCCCACCTCCAGCAGCAGTCCCAAAAAAACTAAACCCCCCCCCCCACCACCACAAAAAAAAAGCACCCCCTAAATTCCACCGCTACAGCGAGGTCACTTACCGGCGAGGCAAACCTGAGAGGGGCTCTCTGTTTCCGGCTCAGACACACTTTAGCCATTCACATGTGGCCTCGCTGTTTGGAGATGTGGTGGGCGAAAAAAACAACAACAAAAATAAGCATTATGAAATATGGAGTGTGGTTTGGAATCCGATCCTAGCCAAATGTTTGCTGAGTGATGGGAGAGAGAGCACGGCTCAGCTACTAATGACTCCGGTAATATTTTAAAAGGGGGAGTGGGCCCCCTCCATCTCCAAACAGATGCACGCGCTGATCAATAATTCCGAGCTTTGAGCCGCGATGACAGTTGGCCGAGTGGCTGAACGGAAATGTATTTTGGTAGGCTCAAAAGTCAATTAGCCGAAGAGCAAAAAAAAAAAAAAAAAAATGGCCGCGAAAGGGTAACGTGATACATCCAAACAAAACAAGCGCCTCCGCGGCTAGAAAACACGCAACGGGCGACATTTTAGCAATCTCACAAATCTCTCTCTCTCTCTCTCTCTCTCTGCCCCCGCAGGTTGTCGTATCGACGACCGTCAACGTGGACGGCCACGTATTGGCCGTCTCCGACAACATGTTCGTACACAACAATTCCAAGCACGGGCGAAGGGCTCGCAGACTCGACCCTTCAGAAGGTACGCCTCCTTATCTGGAGAATGGTAGGCACATTTTTTTGGCATCTTTTGTTTGTTCACTCTCTCGCCGTTTCTTTCCCACCTCCCCCCATATTCTCCCATCCTGCCAGCGCACCGCTCGTAGCTTCTAGTGACATTAGCGTCTTTTAGTTTTCTCCTCCATCACTTCCATTTTTTGTTTTTTAAGACTCTTTAGATATCTTTTTGTCAACCGGTTGCCATGTTTGGAAACGGCGCGCCTTCCTCGGTGTACTCACGATGTCAGAAACAGTTGGATAACACAACTCCTGGTTTGCAAACGCACCTACGTTTGTCCTCAAAGCTAGCTCATGTGAAACATGATCAAATTGCTGAAGAATTTGGCTGTGAGGTCAATTTCCTGTCATTGGGTTCTGCAGATTTAGCTGTGAGAGAGCAGAAACAGGGGGAGGAAGGAGAAAGGGTTGGGAGAAGGAGGGGGGGGTGGAGGGTGCTGGGGTGCTGGTGGGGGTGACCTATGAGAAAAACAGAACTTACTGTTTTTCTTCCAACTGATTCCATATGATAGACTGATTGCCTGCACAGCCAAAAGAGAGAGCGAGAGAAGGACCACCAAACCCTGGGAAATTCAAAAAGCAAAATGCACACAACATAACCCCGTGACCTCTACGCTTTCCACTCGCATATGGTTGAAGGGTTGTTGAGGAGAAAAAAAAAAAAGAACAAAAAAAAAAGAGAGGAGCGAATGGACAAGAGGCAATTGTGCAAATTGCTTATCTTCACATTTCAAGGGCCAATTATGGCTGGGCAAACAGTTTATATACACCAACGAGTGAACTGAGCTTCTCGACACATTAATGGCCATTAATGGTTCTACCAGCAAAACGAATGTAATGTTTAATACAACAACGACGCCTAATAAACTTAAAAAAAAAAAAAAAAAAAAAAAAATCAGCAGACAATTAATATATCTTGGTGCACTCCGCAGTCCTGGTGGGGCAAAAAGCTAATCTATTTGTTTTTGTCTTTATTAATGACTCCTCTACTGGAGAACAAAATCAAATAATTAAAGTCCTGCCCGGAGCACCAAAGTCATTATGTTCGCTGACGTTCTGTTTGTGTGTTTCGCGTTTATGACACGATAGGTGTGGATTGCCTAGCAACCAGTTTCTTAATGAGGAGAGCAATTAAAGAGGTTGAGCCCTCGCCTCCATGTTCCCCCACTCCCATGGGACCCCCCCAACACTCCACCCCTACATTGTGTGTGTGTGTGTGTTCTTTACAGGTTAACCCAACCCATGCTTTATTCCTCTCCTCACCACACTCTTCAAAGCACCAGAGTGACACCCTGTAAAAGCGAGAAAAGAAGCGACTGTCAACCGCGCAGTTGAACATGTCTTTTGTCTAATAACTTTAACACACCCTCCCGATGCTTGGCTCTGTGTGTGTGTGTGTGTGTGTGTGTGTGTGTGTGTTCTCTCCTTCACAACACCATCCCCGCCCCCTTCTTTCTTCCCCTCTCTCTGCTAATATAAAATGCGCTGGAAAACGATGGCTCGCTTTGTTTTCTCGGAGACTCCCGCCATGTCCAAAAAAAGGTGCCGTGACACTGGTGGGCGGGCATCCCCTGCATCGTCTGTGCCGCTTGCATTGATCAAGAGGTGCCGCCCCCTATTGGCCCAAATGCGGCATAGCCTGCATCATCCCCACCATGTGACATTGTTTTCAGCCCTGTTTAATTAGCGCACTCGTTTCAAATAAATCAAGTCGAGTCCCCCCCCCCCGCCCCCACCCCTCCAGAAAATATACATTTCATGATAAATTACACCTTTTTTCTTTTAAATTCCTGACATAACCGTAAATGCTTTCCATCAGGCATCCTAAAATGGCTTATGAGATTGTATACGTGCACAAACCCATCAGGTTGTGATGACATATAGTTTGCCTTGATTAGATTTTTGCACATATCCACATTACGGCACACCTCCACAACTTAAGTTAACCTAATACCGCTGCAGTCTGATATTTTTCCAGAAAACTGAGACATAAATTGATTGCATCGCACTGAGAGTTGCTTCTAATATTTTCAGTCTCCCATGTCGCTAAATGGGCAAATCACCGCCAACAGCATCTCAAATTCAACTTGTCTTCCGAAGGGCACTGAATGAATTGGAAAATATGAGCAAAATGAAAAAAAAAAACATGAAGCGAGAGTTACCGATTTTTGGACCAGGTATCGTTACAGTGACAAAAACTGAATATGATCCCCCCAAAATTATTTTATTCTGCCCAAAATAATTCATAGCATCCCCCAGTGGGGTACAATAATGCCAAAAATTAATCTTGCTGACAAAACCCAGGCCGACGGAGGAGGTGGATATCTCTGAACAATTTGGTGCCGATCCAAACGAGGGCTGTCGGGCCTTGGCGGAGGTCCTGTGCGCTGCCGAGTGCCATTGTCGGTATTTTTTTTTTCGCTCCCCAATTTTGTGTGCACGCTGTCAACACAGCAAGCATATTATGCACGCAGACACAAATGCGCTTTGCGGTTGCCTGCCACTCAAACATGTATACGCTCAAGACTTAAAGATGCATAAACATGCTCACAAATAGTATTTCACACACACACACACACACACACACACACACACACACACACACACACACACACACACACACAC